CCTGTGTCACTTCCACTCGCTTTTCTTTGGCCTCCAACACTGATTCAGAAGGCGGGGAATCAGACGATTCCACCATGCTTCCAGAGGGGCAGAATGAGAATACGCGATGGCCAGCCTCAATGATTGCTGCAATAATTTTCATCTTTTTTTTTCTTTATCCTTTCATTCTTACAAACCTTGCACATGGTGACCAATAGCTCCATTCTAGGGTGAAGGAAACAGCCTGAGTCTCTGATGTGGCTGGGGACAGGAAATGCACCCACCTGACAAGCTGCTGGTGACACCTGGTGGCAGCCCGGAAGCCCCAGACTCCTGAGGGAGGAGCGGTGTCCCTATTCTCCAGCCTCCAGGTGAGAGTTCCCAGCACTGGCCGGGTCTGCTAGGCTGAGCAGGTATCTGGGGGAGAGGACTGAGGAGTATGAAGGCCAAGGGCTCCCTGGGAGGGAAGAGAAGCTTTCTCCAGAGACGTTCACAGGGCGTGGGATCTTTAGTAGTAAAAGGAATGCAACCTGGCTTCTTGCTCCCAGCAGGTGAAGCCAGACATATTGTGACGTGCGGCAATCTAAATGACAAAATACCTTATGGACACGGTTGGGAAGTACAGATATTGACATTACATCATGTCCATTACATAAACTAAGTGAAAAAAGGTAGATACAAAAATTAGACTACAACGGACAGTTTGAAAAGAACGGGGTGTGTGTGTGTGGAGCAGATGTGAATCAGTCCACAAACTATATGAGCAAGACGTATTTGATTCCTTTATTTCCTTTTAATCAATTTAGTCCTGCCTCTGAGCTCTCATTCATCCCGATGAAAATTTGTCCCCAGTTATTTTTAGGGTTTCCCACTGCCATGGTTGTGGTGGGGTCTCTCGTCCATAGCTGCAAAACACCGGCATTGTCCTGTGATTTTTGAGTCCACTGATACAGCCTTCTTCCACTCCACACAGTCCCCGGAAGCCCCGCATCTGGCTGGGGTACATGAATCAACCTTGGTGGGCCCGGAGACTCGATTCCTCAGAGGCACGCTCTGCAGATGTCACCCCTGAAGTCTTGCCACCCACCCCGCCCATTCTCACCTTTCCTTTCTCCCTTCTTCCCTAACTCTCTCCCACGTGCCCCTCAGGACACATACTCTTGAATGAGTTTAAGTTTTTCGAGAGGAATTAGTACATCAGCCTTGCTGAAATAATCAAATAAGGGGATACCAGCAACATGGAAACCAGAAACTGGAAAATTCCCCCACTGGAACTTTTAGAAATGCTGAGCTTTCAAGAAATAAACAGGAAAAGGGAAAGAAGCCACCAGGTACCAAGTCCAGAGCTAAGACTTTATCCTGCTTAGGGATACAAGAAGCACTGGTGAGTAATGACACAGGTAGGCCAGGGGGTAAATCTTGAAAAACATTATTTCTAAAACTAATTTTGCATATATACAAATGAGATGGGACTAAAATACTGGATAACAATAATATGTAAGTTGGGAGAATAATGGCCTGGTTCAATATTTTAATGCCATTGAATCATTTAGGAGAGGAATAAAGACGTTAATTCACTTTATATTTCATAATATCAAATACGCATGTTCAAAACTTAGGATAATTATTAAAATAATAAACATTGGCTGGGTGCGGTGGCTCACGCCTGTAATCATAGCACTTTGGGAGGCCGAGGCAGGCAGATCACTCCAGGCCAGGAGTTCGAGACCAGCCTGGACAACATGGTGAAACCCTGACTCTACTAAAAACAAACAAACAAACAAAAAAAAAAAACTACAAAAATTAGCCAAGTGTGGTGATGCGTGCCCATAGTCCCAGCTACTCAGGAGGCTGAAGCATGAAAATTGCTTAAACCTAGGAAGCGGAGGTTGCAGTGAGCTGAGATCGCACCATTGCACTCCAGCCTGGGCAACAGAGCAAGTCTTTGTCTCAAAGTAATAATAATAATAATAAACATTGAGTGTACCTCTTCCACAGGGAAAGGAGCTTAAATAAAGCCGGATTTCCATCTGAAAAGGGAGATGGAGGGAAAATATGGGCAATAACATATGAAGTAAGAGTCAGAAAAAAATCTGTACATATAAATAGATGTATATGGAATCACCTCATAATGTTACAGTGGTTATTTATGGAGAGTGAGGTTGCAGGTGAGTTTTATTTTCGACCCCACCTCTGGTACTCACGACCTTTGTGTGGCATTCTCCCACACTGTAACAGGGCGAGTTTGGGTGACCTAAAGAATACAGCAGAAGTGAAGGTTTGTCACTCCCCACTGAAGCTATAAAGGGCTGTGGTTTCCGTCTTGGACACTGTCTCTCTTGCTTTTTCTCTCACATCATTTATTCTTAAGGGAAATTTTGTCCTGAGAAGTCCTATAGAGGGGCCCAGCCCTGGCCTCCTGCCAACAGCCACATGAGTGAGCTTAGAACCAGATCCTAGCAGACCATTGGTGCCATCCATCTGTAGTCCCAGCTAGTTGGGAGGCTGAGGCTAGAGGATTACTTGAGCCCAAGAGTTCAAGGCAGCCGTGAGCTATGATCACAATGCTGAAAAAGCAGCAGATCCTGCAATCTGCCAAGCCTTCACATGAGAATAGCCCTGACAACATCTGGTCTGCAACCTCCTGACAGTCCCTGAGTCAGAACGACCGGGCATATTTCAGACGAAACCATAAAAGGGGAAGGAAAGAAAGAACCACCCGGCTGAGCTGCTCTCAGTGATTGTGAGATAACAGATGTTTGATATTTTAAGCTGCTAGGTTTTGGAGATAACCTGTTACATAGCAACAAATAACCAACACAGTATTTTCCCCGCAATTTTTAACTTCTATATAATGTACATACATTGCCTTACAACCAGAAAAAAATGTTTTAAAGATCAAGTAAATCCTTCATTCCAGTGTGATACAGGACAACCTGTTCAGTTGTCTGATTACCATCACTGCTTTGCACATCTGTACCCACTGAAGTCCATGTGGTAAGACACCAGCTACACACCAGGGAGGCCTGAAGAGGGTTTGGTCTTAACTTGGTTTTGCCAGAGACCTTGGTGTTGCAAAACATCCCATAAAAAGGGATGATTCTTTTCATGTGTTGCAGGTCTTGCAAATGTAGCTAAAAATTAGTTAATTCCCTCAGGAAATTGGATAACTTTTAAACTTGGTTAACTGCCTCAAATGTCATATAAAATAATAAATACCATATGACTATTACCAATAGCTACACTTTGTTTATAGAGGATTTTCTTTTTCTTTTTCCTTTTTTTTTTTTTTTTTTTTTTAGAGACAAGGTCTCCTTCTGTCACCCAGGCTGGAGTGCAGTGGTGCAATCATGGCTCACTGCAACCTCAACCTCCCCAGCTCAAATGATCCTCCCAGCTCAGCTTTTTGGGCACCTAGAACTACAGGCACGTGCCACCACACCCAGCTTGGATTTCACAAAATTGGAAACATTTTACTTTTGAAGGTCAGTGGGCCTAGAACAAAATGTGGCATGGTAAGAGAATGCTGTCCTTGAACCTGAAGCCTTCCCTCTGCCAGGAACAGCTCTGTGGCTCTGCAACAAGTCACTTTGCCTCTCTGGTCAGTTTCCTCAGATGTAAAACAGTAGTGTTGAATATACTATCTCTAAGGACTCCAAAAATTTGTTACCCTATAATCTTGCTTTAACCTACCATGGTATTTTGGCTCTTGAATGACAAGCCTGAGCCCCCACTCATGATGGACGTTGCACGACCCAGTATGGAGGACACTACATGCATGTGGCTATTTAAATTCAAATTAACTTAAATGAACTAAAATTAAAATTTATTTCTCTGTTGCAGTAGCCACGATTCAGGTGCCCCATAGCACCTGCAGCCTGTGACAATGTATAACACAGCGCAGAGTTAGAGCACTTCCACTATCACAGAAAGTTCTACTGGACAGCTGCTCTAGGGCCTCACCTCTCCAAGTGTGGTCCACGAACCAGCAGCACCACATTATCTGGGAGCCCTTAGAAATAAAAGTAGACTCTCAGGTCGGGCACGGTGTCTCATGTCTGTAATCCCAGCACTTTGGGAGGCTGAGGCAGGCGGATCACCTGAGGTCAAGAGTTCAAGACCAGCCTGGTCAACATGGTGAAACCCGTCTCTACTATAAATACAAAAATTAGCCAGTCGTGGTGGCAGGTGCCTGTAGTCTCAGCTACTTGGGAGACTGAGGCAGGAGAATCGCCTGAATTCAGGAGGCAGTGAGCTGAGACTGTGCCATTGCACTCCAGCCAGGGCAACAAGAGTGAAACTCTGTCAAAAAGAAAGAAGAAAGAAAGAAAGAGAAAGAAAGAAAGAAAGAAAGAAAGAAAGAAAGAAAGAAAGAAAGAAAGAAAGAAAGAAAGAAAGAGAGAGAGAAAGAGAGAGAGAGAGAGAGAGAGAGAGAGAAAGAAAGAAAGAAAGAAAGAAAGAAAGAAAGAAAGAAAAGAAAGAAAGAAAGAAAGAAAGAAAGAAAGAAAGAAAGAAAGAAAGAAAGAAAGAAAGAAAGAAAGAAAGAGAGAGAGAAAGAAAAGAGAAAAGAAAAGAGAAATGTAGACTCACAGGCCCTACCCCAGCTCAGCTGAATCAGAATCTGGATTTTAACAAGATCCCCAGTGCCTCCTGCAGGTGTGAGTTTGAAAAGCCCTGCTATAGGCAATGTTCTCCACTGAGCAGGTGACTGGAAGGACAGAGTGGTGGTTAGAGGTGTGTCCTCGGCTGGATGCAGTGGTTCATGCCTGCAATCCCAGCACTTTGGGAGGCAGAGGATGGAGGATCACTAGAGCCCAGGAGTTCGAGACCAACCTGGGCAACATGGGAGACCTCGTCTTTACAAAAAAAAAATAAACAAAATTAGCTGGGCATGGTAGTGCATGCCTGTGGTCCCAGCTATTTGGGAGGCAGGAGGATTGCTTGAGTCTGGGAGGTCAAGGATGCAGTAAGCCAAGATCATGCCACTGCACTCCAGCCTGGGCAATAGAGTAAGACCCTGTCTCAAAAAAAAAAAAAAAAAAATGTGGCCTCTGTGGCCACACTCTGTGGATGTGTAGCCCGGCTATCTCTTAGCTGTGCAACCTTAGGCAAATGTCTTAACCCTTCTGGGCCCCAGTTTCCTTATTCGGAAAATAGTATCCATCTCATGGGAAACTCTGAGGCCATAACAATATAAAACAATTATCACAGTGCCTCTCTAACACACAGTAAGTGCTCTTTAAATGACAGTTTTGTTATTTTGGGGTTCTGTGAGGTTTCAGGTTTCTGCCAGCCCCAAGCCTTGAGATCCAATGCAGACAACAGGCCAAGAGCGGCTCTTCTTTCTGCCACAGGGTGGCGCTGTGTCACAACGTCCTTTCCCCTCCCGCAGACTTCGAGCTGGCTCCCCGGCAGGAAACCAGAATTTGAGATTTCCGCCGTCTCTGTTTCCGATTACTAAGCACGACCGGGCAGCCTGGACACCGATCCAAGTATTCATCTGGCAGATAATAGGAAAACAGGCCTCAGCTTTGTATCCAGTTGGAATACGAAAGTAAGGGTCGAACCAAGAGTTCAATAAGGACTGTGTGAAAGTGGTCGTGGAAGCCAGAGACTCCTGATGGAGGGCTGGGGGCAGGGACGTTTCGGATTTTCTAGATCAGCTGTGCAAAGACTTGTGTTCCTTGTCCCACGTGTGCAAACTACAGCCCTTTGCTGGCCAAGCATATGGGTGTATGTAGGGGGGTGTGTATGGGAGGTGTGGGTGTGATACGGAGAGAGAGAGGATTTTTAATTTTTTGAAACACAGTCTCACTCTGTTGCTCAGGCTGGAGTGCGGTGGTGCAATCACAGCTCACTGCAGCCTCAACCTCCCTGGCTCAAGCAATCCTCCCATCTTAGCCTCCTGAGTAACGGGCCAAAGGCGTATGCCACCATGCCCGGCTAATTTTTTATTTTGGGTAGAGATGGGAGTCTCCCTAAACTCCTGGGCTCAAGGGATCCTCCTATCTCAGTCTCCCAAAGTGCTGGGATTACAGGTATGACCCACTGTGCCTGGCTGGGATTTTTTAAAGGAGTCAATTTCTAAAGTTTCTCAAACTCGAGCCTACATCATTGTCACCTGGGGGGCTTGATTGCTGGGCCCTAGTCTCAGTATTTTCAATTCAGTGGGAGGTCTGGCCTGAATAATTTGCATTCCAAACAAGTTCCCAGGTGATGCTGAGGCTTCTGATCCAGGGACCGCCCTTAACTATGCTAAACTGAAAAGCTCACCTGGACCAAATTAGATACTCCTAGTTCAAGAGAAGGACATGGCTCCAGAGGAAATTCCTTTAACCCCCCACCCATGGTGACACCCTCAGCACTCTCAGGAACCTCTTAAGGCCCCCTTGGGCCATGTCAGGGGACTTGTCAGCCCAAAACCCCATGTGGACAGGAAAGGTGGCTGCAGGGCCAGGAGCCAGGTCATTCCCGAGTTATACTCCCCCCTTCCCTCCAGGCTCTTAATTCATAACTCTTGCTCTGTCCTGAGAAGGTTGATTAAGACCCTCAAAACCCTGCTTAGTCCCACTTTTGGCACCAAACCTGCAGAGAGCACCCTTTTTTCCTGATGCCACCAGTCCAAAGCAGAGTCATTTCCCCTAGAAATAGGAGGAAACAGCAGAGGTCTGGATGATTCTGATGGGGGCGTTGGACATTTCAGAGGGAGGGTAGACAACTCAGATGGGACCCCCACTGGTTGATATGGGCTGATTGGAACACTCATGACCAGAGAGAGAGTCCTGGGAGCGAGCCTTGGTCCTCCTCTGAGTTCCTCAGGTATCAGGGCCTCTGCATGTATGGCACTGATCACATACTGCCTGGTCATGAGTCGTGAGCTTTGCCATTCTTTCAGAAAGAGTATGTGACCCACTCAGGATGTGCCAGGCTCAGCACCAAGCTTGAATGGGAGCCTACATCCTCACAATGGGGAAAACATGCAGATGTCGAAGCACATCTCACATATGTGTAGTGGGCCTGTGTATGCAGCTGCCAGGCTCTGGGCCATCTTTGAGTTCCCCTAAAACCTGGTTTTAGGTCCAAGGTTTAGGTCCAAGCAGTGCAGTGAGGCCCATTGGTGGGCCATGAGATGAGTAAGGGAGGCCAGAAGCTAATGTTTTAAGTCTAAATAGTTTTAAGGAATAGCTATCTTTTTAAGGTTGAGATGAAGATGAAATAAATTTGATAAAAGTAAGATGAGTTGCTTTAGAGAACAATAATGGGCTATAGGGTCAGTGCTTATCTGAAGTTTGGGAAACACTGGCCCACAGAATTCACACATGCAAAAGTGTGGGTAAGTAACAGAGACTTCACTGGAGACTTCATGGTAGAAATTGAGGAGGGGTCTTCATGTAGCACAGCCCCCATCCCACACAGCCACAGGATCCCACAGGAGTCATTTTCGTTCTTCCCAAGTCCATTCATGGCCACACAGTCACTGGATCTTTCTGTGTTTTTGTTTTGAGACAGGGTCTTACTTGTTGCCCAGGCTGGAGTGTAGTCATGCTGTCTCGGCTCACTACAGCCTTAACCTCCCTGGGCTCAGGTGATCCTCCCACCTCAGCCTCCCAAGTAGCTGAGAACACAGGCATGCACCACCATGCCTGGCTAATTTTTTGTATAGACGGGGTTTTGCCATGTTGCCCAGGTTGGTCTCAAACTCTTGAGCTCAAGCCATCCTCCCCCCTCAGCCTCCCAAAGTGCTGAGATTACAGGTGTGAGCCACTGTGCCCAGCCCACTGGGTCTTTTCTTCTCTTTTTTTTTTTTTTTTGAGACAGAGTCTTGCTCTGTTGCCCAGGCTAGAGTGCAGTGGCACAATCTCAGCTCACTGCAAGCTCCAACTCCCGGGTTAAAGAGATTCTCCTGATTCTCCTGCCTCAGCCTCCCAAGCAGCTGGGACTACAGGTGCCTGCCACCACGACCGGCTAATTTTTTGTATTTTTAGTAGAGACGGGGTTTCACTGTATTAGCCAGGATGGTCTCGATTTGACCTCATGATCCGCCCGCCTTGGCTTCCGAAAGTGCTTGGATTACAGGCATGAGCCACCGCGCCCCACCTGGGTCTTTTTTTTTTTGTCTGTGTTTCTGCCACTTGGGTCCAGATTCCTGGCTCCAAACAAGGGCCAGACCCTACATCACCAACTTCAGTTCTTTCCCTTTATTATGAAGAAGATTCAGCTGTCTCCCAAATTCCACCCCAAACTCTGGAACTGGGGAAAGCTTATCCATTTTTTTTAAAAATGCTTTATTAATGAAGATAGTAATGCAAAATGGTGCAACTACTTTGAAAACAGTTACGCAGTTTCTTAAAATGATAAACATACACCCACTGATAACTCAGCCATTCTACTCCTAGGTATTTACTGTATTCACCCAAGATGATATATGCCCACAGAAAGACTTGTACAATGATGTTCATAACAGCTTTCTTAGCAATGGCTGAAAACTGAAAACAACCCAAATGTCCACCAGCAAGTGAATGGATAAACAAATTGAGCTGTTCCTAGTCGATGAAATACTCTCAGAAATTAAAAAGGAATGAACTATTGGTAATTCAATGATATGGATGAATTGCAGAACAACTACACTGAGTGAAAGCAGCAAGACAAAAGGAATACATACTATATTATTCCATTCAGATAGCATTCTAGAAAGTGGGCCAGGTGTGGTGGCGTGCACCTGTGGCCCCAGCTACTTGAGAGGCCAAAGTAGGAGAATCACTTGAGCCCAGGAGGCAGAGGCTGCGGTAAGCCGAGATCGTGCCACTGCACTCCAGCCTGGGTGACAGAGGGAGACTCTGTCTCTGAAAAAATACGAAATAAAAATAAAGGAAAAAGTGTAAGGGCCCTTTCCACAGACACAGCACAGCCTTAATCCTGCTCCCCAGAGCCGACTACTGTTAGCAATTTACTGAGCAACCTCTCAGGTTATTTCTTATGAATACACATGAATTTATAGAGATTTTATTTTTACAGAAACAGGATTATACCGTACATATGGTTCTGCAACTGCTTTTTTATGAAATGATGTGAGGGCCTTGGAGAAATAAAGTTTAACTCCAATGTACACTTTGACATGATTATGCTCTCCCCTTGCCACAGGCCTTGGGAGAAATTAGACTAAGCCAAATCAGGTAGCCACTCTTGAGAAAAGTATACAGCTAGGCTGGACGTGGTGGCTCACACCTGTAATCCCAGCACCTTGGGAGGCTGAGGCAGGAGGATCACTTGAGCCCAGGAGTTCAAGACCATCCTGGGCAATAGAGTGAGATTCCATCTCTCGCTAAAGAATTAAAATTACTAAAAATTTAAAAATTAGTTTTAATTTTTTAAATTAAAATTACTAAAAATTAATTTTAAAAATTTTACTAAAATTAAAAATTACTACTAAAAATTGAAAAATTAGCCAGGTACTAAAATTCGAGACGGGTGGATCACGAGGTCAGGAGATCGAGACCATCCTGGATAACACGGTGAAACCCCGTCTCTACTAAGAAATACAAAAAACTAGCCGGGCGAGGTGGCGGGCGCCTGTAGTCCCAGCTACTCGGGAGGCTGAGGCCGGAGAATGGCGTGAACCCGGGAGGCGGAGCTTGCAGTGAGCTGAGATCCGGCCACTGCACTCCAGCCTGGGCTACAGAGCGAGACTCCGTCTCAAAAAAAAAAAAAAAAAAAAAAAAAATTAGCCAGGTATGGTGGTGAGCACCTGTGGTCCCAGCTACTCAGGAGGCTGAGGTGGGAGGATCACTGAGTCCAGGTGTTCAGGGCTGCACTGAGCCATGTTCATGCCGCTGTACTCCAACTTGGGTGACAGACCTTGTCTTAAAAAAAAAAAAAAAAAAATATATATATATATATATAAGAAAGAAAAATGCATAGCTAAATACTGACTCCAGGATCACTGACTCCAAGAGTTCAAGGCTGCACTGAGCCATATTCATGCCACTGCACTCCAACCTAGCTGAGAGAGAAAGACCCTGTCTCAAAAAATAAATACAAAAAAGAAAAGAAAAATGCATAGCTAAATACCCATCTCCTGTTTCATTAGATTCTCCCTAGGGACGCTAGTGGATCTGCTGCAGAGAGGGAGACACAAACCTCCCCCTGGACTTGGGGCTGTGGGAATGTCTTTGGGAAAGCCGTCAGCAGGGGCTGACTGTGGTCAGGGTGAGCAGAGCCGATGCCAATTTTGCAAGGTGAGAAAGTAAGTTTTTATTAACACAGGAGAATGTTTCAGGTCTGTTCTCTGGAAACCTAAGATGTACTTACTGTGCCTTCACACAGAGTCTAGGTCATGTTCTTGTTATCCTTGGGAGTTGGTGGTGTGGTGTGGACAGGGACCGGGCTCTGAAGGGCAGCAAAATGTGTTGGAATCCCAGCTCTCACCCTTGCCAGCTGGGTGACCTCGGGCACGTCACATGACCTTCCCCATTGGCTTCCACTGGCTTGTGGAGGTTCATG